AAGTATTCAATAAGATGAACAGGCCTTATGAGACCTAATTGTGGGAAAATTGACATTTCAAATTTTATTACCATTCAAGAATTACTGATTGGCTCCCATTTAAAGCCAAATTCTAGAATGTTGAGGCTTCTTGGTTTTATTCTTGATGAAGCTGTGTGCAATTTTTTATTGAATTCTTTTGCTATCATGCCATGTTGATTTCATAATTGTGGCGTCCTCGTTACTATTATGCTTCACATAACCTAACAATATGCTTGATGCCTCGTACCCAAAAGTAACCTATGAGTTTTGTTAATTAATATATGAAATGGTAACTTGTAGGGAATTTCTCACATTTAACTTGTAATTACTTGCCATATTAATCTGTAAATCCTGTGTATCAAGTACCAACTAACGGCTTCGCTAAACCTCCTAACTAAGCCTCGAAGGCTTTCCGGGCTTTGGCTGTTTAAAATGGTTTGATCTTGGTTTTTACAACTTGGTCTTTTTGTTGACCTAATTTGGGCTTACCTTGTCCAAAGTCCTCTGCTATAGTAAATAAGATAATTCTCCGTCTTTTAGTCTAAGACAAATATGGAGCAACACACAAATTGGCAAAGTTTAACTGGTTAGAACTCAAACTGTTAAACGATGTCCATCAAATGACTGGTGAAGTCTCAGCAAGGATTCAGTGGGATTAAGTGATGATGAGCCGAGGACTTATTCACACAAATCTACAGTCACATTTCTAAGGCACCCCTCTTCGACTTCAGGTGAGACTAACATACGTCTTATTTCTACTTACCTCTTCAAACGAAAGAAAAAGCACACCATTATCAAGAATACGGCATTCCAAGCAAAAAAAAGCTTCATGGATCAATGGCCTATCGTTAGTTAGAGTTAAAAGGGATCGTTAGGAAGAGACAAATGGAGGAGCTTCGGTAATCAAGAAAAGGCGTTTCAGTGAATGTAGTTTATTGAAAAAAATAATCACAATTTTGGTTGATGGACTGAGTTACAAGAATACGGAGTATAAAGATGTGCCAGGTTACGATGGGAAATGATAACACAACTTTTCAGCAGAAAGTTGGTTAAAGATTGACTTCACATGTCACTTTGACGAATTGTAGCCCGGTACTAAGAGTTGAAAGACTCACTAACGAAGCAAACTATGATGCCGGGAAAAAGTCTGAGACTGTACCAACCTCACAGTTAAAACTGTAAGTTATCACAAATACTATAGCAGATGACAAGGTACGTCCAACTAGGTTGCCCAGACAACAAGAACAAGTTGTGAAAACAGGGTTAGACCACTTTTATACAGAGAAATAGGACCAAAACTCAGGCAGAGACTAAGAACTTTTGGTATTTATATCAACCGGTCCGTATCCCACTTTATTATTACTCAGGAATCACTGATAATTTCAAAGCCTAGTTAAATCAAAAATAAGCAACGTAATTAATTTCATTGACAAACACATGTTTGCTTAGTCGACAATCTCACTATGGAATGTGGCTTAGACAATGCTTGGTTCGTTTGAATGTCAAACTACCCCTGTAAGGCTTTTGCATCCGTGGCTTTGTAGTGGTGTATGAATAGGGGCTCATAGAACATAGGCACGGTCGCAAATACAGTCCACCCTGGAAGAGAGAACCTTCTGTGAGGTAAGGCTAAGTGAAATGGCTATGAATTGTGTAGCTTACTTATCTGATCATGGAAAAAGGCAACTATCAGTCCTCAGATGACCGTAAGTGGTATATGGTGACTAAGTTCTTTGTCTTGGTTTGAGTACGGTAGTTTTTTTTATATACAATAGAATAAACACAGTACTTGGTGGTGGATTCAGGCCTTGGGACTTTATTGTATATTAAGTCATAAAAATTTCTCATTTGAATTATTTATTTAACTGTGAATAACAACATGTTTTATTAGTAATAAACTACTTTTGCAGAGTTTACCTTTATTATAAGAGGATAGACCGAATAAAAAAGAGCGGGGTGCACCTAAGGGCATCTATTTAAGTTTATACAGGGCTTTAAAAGTCTATTTTAATTTAAAATGGTGGTTAAAATGATTAATATAAGCAAGAATTATGTGAAAAGCTTTTACTGTATGACTCTTGATTGCTTTAAATTTTTTACTTCGGCCGGCGGCTTGATTTACCTTGGTTTTGCCGGCCCAGAATGGCGCTCTTACTTCCAACTGCCTCCTCATATCTGGTGACTCGTTTTATTTTTCCAGTTTATTCTTGATTATTACTCAATTTCTGAATTTATAATACGAGAATTACTGGTTTACATTATTTTTCTTTTTGCTCTCATCCTTCAACTTTCAGCTGTTGCTATTTTGTCTTCGTTCTGGATGAGCTGCGCCTTTAAATAACATAAACCATTGATGGCGTGTGTACCTATTGTCAGCAGGCGTAGCAGATATCACTTCGAAGTTCTAGTTTGCCTACACAGACTTACGTCCGTTCCCTATGTAAATGCAGTCATCTTTGCCAAAATTCGGCTATTAAATACAAGGCACTCGCGCCAGTTTTCTTCCAGGTATAATTTTTTGAAACTTACTTTTGACAGAGTTGAAGCGAAAGATCATATAGTTTTGTGGAATAGCGAACATCGTTTTTTCTGCAAGTTTCGACTAGATAATGAAACAAGCGTTCTTGAACCGAATGACCTTAAGATTTCTATCAGAATGGTTAGTATTATAGTTTAAAATTAATTTCTAGCCATTTTACATTTTTTATCACATCCATATCCCTCTTCCCCATTCTTTCTCTGATTATATTAAAAAACTAAATAAGGTTTTGGAATATATTTTGTTGATTTTCATTCCCTTATAGTCAGTATTTTATTTTTAGGACATTCATTCTTTATAAATGCAGTTGACTTATTGTGTTTGTTAAATGTAAAGTTGATTTTCGCTTAGTTGTGTTACTATAGCCACAGCCCTAATTGTGTGAAGTCTTGTTTTTTTGATCGTGCTGAAAAAAACACATTTCCTGGGTCATCACAACTTGGCCTTATTCTTTGTTCTTTCAAAGTAAGTATTTTTGCTGAGTTTTACATGGATATATATTAATCCATACACATCACTGTATGCCTGATATTCGAATTCTAAGTCCTTAGGCTAGGGTCTACTATTAAATATAGTCTGTTTTCTGGCTGACTGGATCTTCCTGAATCCCCTAAAAATTTAACTGATTCTATGACTTATAATTGTCAATTACCTGTTGCAATATTTCTCAATGCATATGCATTGACGAATTTTCTGCGTGGTCGATATACAGTTGCTGAGAGTCGATCTGATTCGTAGTTATCACATGATAATATTATGAATTAGAGCTTTTTGCCTTCATCCAATCTATCAGCATTTCAAAGAAGTCATGTGATCTATTGATTGACCTGTAATCCCATAACTTTTTATTATACTCAAATGGAATCGCTCTTTCTCCCTTTATAGTACTATTCTTAAAGTTGTATACATTTACAAGGCTCCTGAAATCACTTAGGGCAGGTTATCTTAATTAAGTTTCGCCAATGCCCAAATATCTTTGTATCATCTTTAATAGTTTTAGTTTCATTATAAGTTTAACTCTCAGTGAAATTGCAGGCTCCTTCCCTATATATGCCTATGCTCTAAATCCCAAGACGGGGAGAACATTGCCGGATTCTTCAAATTCTCCTCGTAGGCATGACTTTTAGAAAACAAGCTTAAATGAACTGCAGCGAAGGGCAATTTCACTCCAACAAAGGTAGCACTTCGGTATTTAAATTCAGATATCCAAAATATTCTTCCGCTTGAATTTTGAACCTTTTCAGTTTTCCCATGAGTTTTTGTGCCAACTTTGAGATTGTCTCATCATCTACTGGCATTTGTCTTCAAACATCTGCAAATGCACTAGTTCTCCTCTTTCACACATGTATACATCATCATGTTCATTTTATTTCCTTATTAACCTTTTCTCTGTTTCCTATCTATTTTCAAGGAAACTGAGGGCGGAAAGTCATTTCACAAGGTCGGCTTTGTCCGCGTCAACCTGGCCTGCTTCGCAGCTGCCGGTGATTCACCTCGGCGACGACGCTACATTCTCGAAGGATATGATGAAAAGCGAAAAAGGCAGGACAATTCACTTCTACTTGTCTCTTTTCTCGTTAAGCAGACTTTTGGCGACACCTGTTTCCGAGTGTGAGCAACACAACTTACTGTTGGGCAATATTTATATTTTGCCCTTAAGTTTTTCTTGTAATAACATTTTAATGTTTTTTTTTGTAATTCAATTAATATATTCCTTTAAACAGTAGCCATCTTTAATCTCTACTTGAGGTTAAAAAGCCAGTCTGTGCAATTCTAGGTCTTGGCTTTTCTACAGGCATAATAGTCTATGTGCGAGATGTATTCGTAGTCTTGAAATTCTATTTCTAAATGAAAAATAAGTGTACTGGGTTAACCCTGTTTTAGCAATTTGGCCTTGTCAGAGAGACTTAGTTGGACAAACCTTGTTCGAAGTCGTTTGCTATAGTAGTTATCGATTTCTAGCATCAGACCGTGGCCAAGTCCACCGTCCACTTCGGGCAAGGTACGTCCAACTAATCCACTTTGACAACAAGACCAAGTTGCATAAACTAGGTCAACTCACTTTTATACATCAAAAGGAGATCGTTACCATACCGAGGGCCACACTATCTTGGTCTTCATACCTTCGAAAAATAATAGTGTATGTTTTTCTTTTCATAATTAGGTTTTATAGACTACCAGTAGATCTGAACTAAGAGCTATTTTTACTATTTTGTTCAGGATGATGAAAGACGGGTAGTTTAATTTTCCCATACTTATATGAGCAGGCCTTACAGTTCCATTGAATTTCGTATATCCTTGCCTCCTAAAATGTATTCTCATTTAGGATGGACCTCGTCTAGCTCTTATAAACACCCCCAGCGGCACTAATAATGACATTTCAGCGCATAATCTTGATACGTTACCAACCAGACAACATTGCCACAAGTACCTTTGGATCAGAGAGCAGATGTGAATTTCAAGGTAGGTCAGACATTCTCCCATATATTGTCGATGAAGCAAAGTTGTATTTGCTATAGCAATCAACTACGTTACTTATTTTTCCTTTATCAATAAGCTTTAGAGACTACCAGTAGATTATATATGTAAGATGTATTCATCTTATTTTGTTTATTATGATAATGGGACTGGCGGTCTCTAAAGCCTACTTATAAACGAAAAATAAGTAACGTAGTTGATTACTATAGCAAAAACAACTGCTTCATCAGCAGTTCCACAGGATGTGATATGAGAAAATACCCGGCCTTGAAATTCACATTTGTTACGTGACCCAAGGGCACTCGTGGCAACTTGACGTAGTGGTCAACGTGTCGAGATTATGCGCTGCACTACCAGGTTTCGAATTTCGCTGGGGGTGTTTATGAAACCTATGCGAGGTTGAAACGGCAGTACAGCAAGGCTATGTGAAATTCAAATGAAACGTAATGTCTATCCATATTGTAATAAAATTCAGATATCCGCTCTTAATAATCTTGAACTGAATAGGATGAATACAGCCCTTATACTAGTTTCTAATGTGTAATTCTTGTTTGTATAAATTGTGATAATTAATATTCTTTCTTTGTAAATTTCTCATTCGTTTCAAGAGTATCTTTGCACAAATATTTAATTTATCTGCAATTTTGGCGAGTTTATTTCCTCAAATCTTATAGTTGCTAGATAATTCATCAATTAGTTGACAATTTAAATAAGATACTTGACTATTCTTAAGCCAAATGATTCATCAAAGTCACCCTTACACTATATATTTTTATATAAACCATTCGATGGCTTCATTAATCTTTTTTTCTGTCGCCCTCTGCTCTAGGCCCGGGGAAGATCTCAGCAAGTGCCTTGTTGAGCCGCCAAATGATTCTCTCGATCCCCCCGAGCCGGAATCGCATTCAGCTTCTGCTTCGCCATCATCGTCATCCTCGCGGTCGGCATTGCCTTCACCACTGGCCTCGGCATCTCCTCGATTCAGCTTCCCCACCACCTTGCCCTCGGGAGAACAGGATAACCTTTGTCAAGTTGACTCGATACAACCTTCACGTGCTGTAAACGAGTCCTGCCCAAAGCCCTTCGGCTTTCTAGAAGTAGCGGCGTCTTATCCTGTTTGCTGTAAAACGGCTTGCTCTAACTCAATTTCGCATACCGACACCGCAATCACCACAACCACAGCCACCGAGTCGCTCCACATTTATGATGCCTTGAACACAGTTGGACACGAACTGGCGCATCAGCAATGCAAAGATCAACAACACATTGTGTTACATCCTCTCTGTTCTCGGTGCGAGACAATCTGTAATCAAACCGATCCAACTCCTAACCCAGTTAAGATAGATATCTTAGCAAATAGTGTATCTGTGGAGCAACATGACACTATTCTGGAGACTGATGAGGAAAAAATAATTAATTTAAATCAAGGTTAGTGCATCCATCCTTAAATCTTTAAATTTTTCTCTCGATTCTAGAATGAATAAACGAATATGCAACTTATTCACTTTTACACTTATTATCAACACCATTTTTTTCTCATTTACAAACATAGATAATATCAGCATGCTTTGGAATAGCCCTTTTGAGCATTAGTGATTAGCTGCACATGGAAATGGAATTTATTGCTGTCAGTAAATCATGTGGCTATGCAGATTCTTTAAAAATAAATCGGTGGTGAAATAAACATTTGAACATATTTAATTGATTACGTAGCTCTTTTCCACCCTTACAATTAGTGAAAATTTTCAAGCTTTGATGCAGACATTTTCCATTGAATGCCTCAAACTTTAGACCCGTTTCTACTACTAGCATGCCGATACTACTTGGACGAAACTTGTGAGATTACTTACGAATAGAACTCTTAGGATTAAATAATGCCTTTCTGCCCTTTATCCTTTCGTATATAAAGAACTATGTTTCAGGACATTGAACAATAATCTTGGAATATTTCCCTTTAAGTCGATCATATTTATGTAATATAATATCTAAAAGGGTCCACTCGCTATTATTACCCTGAAGGTTTTGCGATACATTTTCATCTAATATAGGCTTATTTGCTAACGATCTGGTGGTCACAATCGTTTAAATATAATAGACCTAATTAGTATTCAGGTGTTAACCCTTCCCTTGCGTCAGTATTACATCTAACTAATTGCTCCTTCCTGTGTAATTATTCTAATATTGTCGTGCTTTGCTGGGACTATCACTTCCATAGTTTATTTCAAGTAGGCTACTTTAGGCACTTTTAGTGCCTCGTTTTGCAAAGACTTTAGTTAGGCTGATTGTCACGATAGCACTTTAAGGTCTTCCGGATGTTGCATCACTTGTAGCTTATATATATTTGCATTCATCCCGTCCG